ATTCAATTAGGTAAAAATCTTCACACTTTCAAGCATGTATGACATTGAGAATCTATGACTAAGAAAATAGGATTACGATCATTTAAAGTCTCTGAAGGGCTAGACAGCAAACATTGTACGAATATATGTGTACTAGTTATACATTTTAACTCACCATAGGTATTATTATGCATGAGTTGAAAGTCGAGACTCTTGCCATTCAGGCGGATAACTTGTAAAATTAAATAAGTTTAGTTGGCGTATTTTCCAAAACAAGCAAAAGCGACCAAGTCAAGGAAGAAGAATCGGAAACAATCAGGAAACCATTAAAAAGATTAACAATTTCTTTTATATATATGTATATATATATTTTTATACATTTATTAACAAAAAATATTGTAAAGTCAAAGAAATTCAGAAATTTTATATGAAAACACATTTATAAAAAAATGAATCGAAAACACATTTTTAACATACTCATAGCCACCATTGGCGTCCGCGGATATATTATGCTATTATGTTCAAAAAATGGGGGAACCTTTTCAAAAAAGCGTACGATCGTCTCTGTTTAACACTTGAACCGTCACGACGTAGCAGACTTTCTCAACACGAGTTAAGAAACATTTCGCAATATTCTCTTAGCGTTTAAATTAAAAATCAAAAATAATACAAATTCTACATATCACTGTTTACATATGTGTATACATATGTATTTATGAATAGAAAAAGTAAACAAATTCTTTAGAAAACCTTAATAAAAATAACAGTATATGCTGTTGTAATACTTACATTATTTTTTATGGTTATCATAAATTCACAATCAATATTCGATCATTCCTTTTGTGCTCTATAGATACACACAAGTCAAACATCTTAAAAGAAAAAAAAAAAAAAAAGAAAAATGAAATTGAAAGAAAGGGTAACAGAAACACACAGAAGGGATAAGTCTGAGGATCGTAAATATGTTACCTAACCAGAAATAATAAGGAAACCTGGCCATAAATTATCTGATGGTAATATATTACATCGAAAAGAATATCTATTCTTTTAGCATAGTTGTTGTTGTAATACCCTGCTGGACATAAGAATACAATACAATGGAAACAAGATGATTTTAAAAGACAAAGGACGATTATCGATCAAAATAAGTGAAACAAACTTATTTGAAATAAGAGAATAATTGCAAACAACGGGTTTAGATAGAAGGCTTTTAAAGCGATCTACTGCTGATGGTCTAAAATTTCAATATTCTTACACTAAGGGATTCTAAATCTTAACTGCGTT